ATCATCAGTTCAGTTCATCACTCATTATCATTCTTCATCATCAGTTTTTACCAGTTTGTCTCTCATCATCAGTTATTTCTGCAAAATCTTATTAGAAACGTTTCCTTTTTTCAAGATGTAAAAATGCCAAATATTTCCTTATGTAAATAATAAAATTATTATTCAAAATATTAAGTACAAAAAATCCTTAAAGTAGTTCTAAAATTTTCCAATCATTAACTAGATTCTGAAGTTTTATTAGAAATTTAAAATATTTGAAAATTGTTAAAAGTGATTATTTTTTGAAGGTATAAAACATATGAATAATATAGGTTTATATTAAAAATTTCCACTATGTGTAAATTAGGTTTTTCTACATTAAATAAAAAATATTCTTCTTTTTAAATAATAAAAAAAATCATTGCTTATAATTAAATTCACATGCAATATATGTATACCTCCTGTATATCTTTTGGTTTTTTAATTTCATGTGTATTATTTAATAGATACTAAATGAATAATTTTAGAAACATCATATTGACGAGAGGAGAACAAAATAATTAAGAGTCATTTTAAATTGAGAATGTATGTTTTATATGTTATTTATATCTGTTGAAAAATGAAATTTAATGTTCGTCAATTTCAGTCTACTTTTTAATAGGTGATAAATAAATAATTTCAGAGACATTATATTGACAAGAGGAAACCAAAATAGTTAACAATAATAATTTTAAATTGAGAATGTTTCATTTATATGTTACATTTATATGTTTAAAAGTGAAATTTAATTTTCATCAATTAAGCCTACTTTTATTAGGTACTAAATAAATAATTTTAAAGACATTATATTGGCGAGTGGAGAACAAATAATAACATTAGTAATTTAAATTGAAAATATATTTTTATTTTATTTATATATGCTTGAAAGTGACATTTAATTTTTATCTAGTTAAATTTTCATCAATTTTTACTTTCTTCAACTTAAGTATATTAGCTATCAATTTCAGTTATCATCTATTTAAGGTTAAATGTATTCATCAATTATTTATTTAGTGTCTATTAAAAATAGATACTAAATAAATAATTTCAGAGACATTATATTAACGAATGGACTACAAAATAATTTACAATAGTAATTTAAATTGAGGATGTATTTTTTATGTTTAAAAAGTATAATGTAATTATGCTAAATTTTAAAAAATTAAAAATATTTAGTACTGAAATATATTTTAATATATTAAAATTCCTACAAGCAAGCTCAAAATAATGTTAAGAGTTCCATTTTCAAGTTTCTATTATCGCATTTATTTTTTTTAATACTTTTTTTTTAAAGTTCAGAATCTCTGCGGAGGTTTTACATCATTCTCGAAAAAGGAACAGGTGTAAAATTCCGTGTGATAGCGTGGACCGTTTTTTATGGAGGACGCGAAAAAAAACCCTTTTTTTCTGCTACAGAGATTTCGGCTCGTAGCTGTTGTTTGATGATAAGGTAATAATGCGTTTCTTTCCTTTTCATAAATTGTAAATTTCACGTAAAGATTATACTAAAATTCTTCGAAAAACTTCAACATCCTAGAAGCTAGATTAGAAATAGTAAAAAAGAAAGAAAAATCATTAATTATTTTTGTCTTTATCCTGTTGTTTATTTATTATTATTTTTTATTTATTTATTATTTATTTATTTTTTTGTTTATTCAACTTCATTAATTTTTAAAATTAGCTTTTAAATATTTTTGCTAATAATTTAAATATTTGAATTTGATGCTTTGATTAAAATGAATTAACAGGATCCAATGCTATATATCCAATGCTATTTTTAATTTCAAATATGTTATTAAATTACTTAAAAAGAAATACTTTGAATTATAATTTAAAAACATTAGAAAATAAATATTGAAAATTAAAATATTATTTTATTTTATTAAATTTAAAAGATATTTGCTATGCATCAATAAATATATAATACATGAAAATAAATAAACTAACAAGCAACTATACATAGCATTATATAAAATATATATCAATAAATAGTTTATTATATTAGGAACAATTTAAATGCATTTCTGCGATATCCAATATATATAATGAAATTTTAATTTTAAATTAAATTATTTACTATAATTATCATTTTAATTATTTGTATTTATAGCAATAAAATTTTAATAACTTTTTTCATTTTAGAGTTTAATTTACTAAAATATAAAAAATTACAAATAAAGTTATATTTAAAAAAATCCCTTTTTTAATAACCCTGTTTATTGTTTAAATTTACACACAAAAAAAAAAAAGAAAATACCTTATCGATTACCAAATATTACCATTAAATTGAGTACATAAGCAAAATAAAGACCATTAAATCACCTTAAAAAATACGAATCTGAACCCAAGTCGAATAGCCTTCATAAAACGGAATTCATTAACCCCACTCGAATAAACCTTC